CCCCCCGTACCCACCCCAATGGACCTTGTGGAAATAAATGGATTAGTCCATCAAATTGCTCATCAAAATTTAGCTGTGTATACCAAATTTCATCATTTATCACAACGCGATTGAGAGATATTGCAAAAAAATGATTTCCATTCCTCCCTCTTTAATGGGTCCCTGTGCCCTTAGGAAGCATTTCCGGACCCATGTTCATATGAACTTTTTTACTTTTTTTACTTTGATCATAGAATCGGCCTGTTCAGGGTTGGCAGCTAATTATGAGATACCCTGTATAGAGTAAGTTACTAAATGATTAATTTGCAGTCCAATATGGTACTGACAAAGAACTAAAACAATACAATTAACGGGATTTTGGTGGATACATAGACTCCACCTATAGGTTACCTGTTAAATATATCATATTTAAACCAAGGTATAATTTTATTATATTTAGTGGGTCCGTTTCGTTTAAGCGCGAATAGTTAAGTGATAAGTGATAAAAGGCCCCTTTCAAACTTTTCATAATCAAATAGATTCCTATTTGTTTGAGACTTCTCAGCAAGATATAAGCCAAACTGGCAGCCAGCTTGAAGAGTAAGTTTTCAACTTACCTGGTATATGTCAACAAAATAGGAGATTGCATTAACTAAGGGATAGTCCGCATATTTCAGCAGTACTGATGGTCCATAAAGAACGGAAATTTTTATTTTATCATTATATTCAGGCCTCTCCGTAGCCATAACAAAGTGGCATGTGTTGCCTTGCGAGTGACCAATGAGAAAAATTTTTTGGTTAGTTTTATTCATTATGTAGTCTATGTTAGCTGGAATATCGTATGTTCCTATTTCATGGTAACTAGAAAATCACGGAATGCATTAATTATTTCTTAGAAATCATTACACCTTGGGTATATAAACTTACCTGAACTTCCAATATCTATTATCTTCAATATCAAAATATTTATGTTTCTGAGAATACCGTGTACCCCTCGCATTTAATATCCAGACATCATAACCCCTATCAGCTAGGTAATATATCAGAGAACGTCTGCCAAGTAACAGAAAATATTCTACTTGTGCTGCCATCCCATGCAGCAACAACACAGGACTTCTTTTGGTGTTATTGCTTGGTGACCGCCGACCATGTGGTACTCTGTGCAATGTAAGTATGTAATTATCTTCAGTTGTGACCTCGTGGATCTCAATGGGATATCCGTGTTTTATAACTTTTTGCTGCTAAAAATTTTAACAACATGAAATATTTGGTTCTGTTTTGGAATGTGGACATTTCCATAATTTTTTTTCCAGCACATCGTCCCACAGGGCGTGTCATTAAAAACAGAATACATGACAGTTGTAGTTAGAGGATATCAAAATAAAACAATGCTTGCATTCAAGCCAACGGACGTAATTTTGAACAGTTTATGTAAATTTTACTCGCCAAATTGATAAAAAAAGTTAAAATCCTATCTGTTGTTAAATTCCGTTAAAATTGTTAATTATTATACCTATTTTTTGAATTACAAAAGATTTTCGAAACGTTAGCAAAATGTTTGCTTTTGTTCATAAAAAGGCATTTTTCTTGAAAACGGTTGACTTTAGAGAAATGAACCAAGACAACTCTTATTGTGTAAAATTCATTGGCGCTTTAGAATTTGCTGTCAAAAGTCAATTTTTCCAGTGGCGTAAAATTTAGGGGGGGAAAAACACTTACGATACCTTAAAATCTCCACCACTGGCACGTCCAATGAATTCGAGAAGGGTGCGAAAAAGTAGCTATTAATAGTGGTAATGTGTGTACAAAAGCTCAGTCCTGTAGTTCAAACGATTCCTAAGATATTGGCGAAAAACTAAAATAAAATGTCGACACCATGTATCTCAAAAACGAAAGCCCGGAGAGAAAAATGGAAGAGGAAAAAACTGTTTCTTTTTTCAAGAGAAATTTACAGTTTTCCGTTGCGACACTTATTTAGGAACACCCTGTATATTAATTCAGTTTTTATGAAAAAGTTCAGAGACGTTCGTCTTCTAAAATGTCAGTTTTACATAACTCAGATTTTGTGTTAGAAAAACAGGCTTACCATATTAAGATCTGCTTCAGGGTGAGTTATAAATTCGAGGGGAACTGAAACATGCAGTATTATTTGTAAAAGCAGTAAAGGCGACCATCCAGCCATATTAGTTTTATAAAATTACGTTCTTGTTTTTGTACATACGCATTGACTAAAACATTAGACATTGAATAAATAATTGTATTTCTTTTAATTGTCGCCTCACATTAAAGTCATATTAGTTGGATAATTTGCGTAGTAATTATGACTAATGTATTATTGATGTTTATTTATCACTTGTATTTTGAGACTACAAAAAAATCACTTAGTTGCACATAAATTTTAAAATTTTAAATGCAAAACGATCAACGTATGTGTGCAACAATTTAACTTAATTTTAATAAAAATGTATTTCCTTATTATTTACTTTAAAATTGGTCGTTTTTATTCGCTCCCATCATCTTGAAATACGCCATTTCCAAGGTTAGGATGAATTTTTTTTTTCTTCTAGCTATTGAACCTTAATTTGCGAATCATAAATTTCGTAGGAAATTAAAAAGTTTGAGAGTATTAGATGTTAACAAAATAGTATGCGTAATCACCTCTCCGTGGTCTTAGACTACCACTAGCAATAGTTTCTCCAAAATCTTGAAGTCATTTCTCTAGAAATCGATTTGTTATGGTTCTTCTTCTGATGTCTTAAAGCAGCTTTCTTGTTTCAGCTTTCTTTAGAAGTCTCGGCTGCGCTTCCATAAAATATGCTTCTAATCTATAATGGATCTGATTAAGTTTTTGTAGAAAATTGTAATTATGTATATGTCCTTACTTTTGTTGAAAAAAAGTTTTGAGTAGGTATGTTGTTAGAGCTTTTGGTTTTCTTTATAATTGATTATATATGCTCTTTATTGTAATGGTAAAATAAGAGAGAATAGTCCACACCATCTTACCACAGTGCTCCAGTTCATAATCTTAACTTAAAATAAAACTTTTGTCGTATTTACCAACCTTACTTTTTATATAGGACATTATATCGTAATCAAATTTTAACCAACAAACAGATGATACGAGGTGAGACAAAATAATTGTATCTTCATTAAGAACACATCATTACCATGGTATTTCATAATAATCAAAACATACACATAAAGGTGAATACAAACTTAAAATTATGCTTACGATGTACACCATTGGAACACTTAAGTTTTGCTCGCCATGCAAATTGGTGGGGTAAAAAAAATTGTCATGTCAACATGTTCAATTGTGGTAGTTATCTATTTCATTGTATGCAGTAACATGTTAAGTTGTGACAATAATATTCTTATTTATTTATCATACTCAGTTGGCCACATAATAGTAACAAGTAATCTTTGGAATGAATTTTAAAATCCACTAAAATATTTTGCCAACGACAATCAGCAATAGAAGTGCCTGGGTAACACAAACATGTGACATTATGCATCCATGGGACATCTATAAAAAGTCGCTAACACAAAAAAAGAATATATCAAAAGGACGCCACGAATTCCAACTATGGAGGTATTTTGGTTTTTAATAGTATCCATCGGCTACGAGAAGTATTTAATTTTAATTTTAATAGCATCAAACTCGTCGGTTTTAATTTGTTGTTTTTTTAATGTTTGATGAACACTAAAGGTTTTTTTTTGATTTTCTCAAAATTTTTATTCCTATCAGGTTCGTTGATTTAGACTCAAAGATTTGTCTCTACTATCAATCTACAAAATGCATGTCACATATATCATAGTTTCATAGTTTGACATTTCATGTGAAAGACCAAACCGTTCTATTTACACATCTGCGTATGCCCAGTTATTGAGACATCCAGTGACTGGAGGAATATTGAAACCTGCAACTGCTTCAGTTGTTCTATACACACTGAAACTCCCAATTGGTTTACATTGTAACTACGTCTAGCAAATTAGCTCACAAATGTCGCTGACTCTGAATCACCCCTGATTCCAAGGATGCAAATCTTTCGTGTATAGGAGTTTTTGGGGAAGCAATTTTTGTCACAGTACGACTGTTAATAAAATATTGATTCTGGAATGAGTAGTTTTATAGTAACTTGCCTTTCTACAATAGACCTAATGACGACAGCAAATAGTGTCCGACACTCCCGGATAAACGGGATTTGTATAAGATATACAATTAATAACTTTGTTCCTAGTGCATTAAAAATAGTTTCCAATTGCATTTTATTCAAAGCAATGGATTGTAAACCATATGTAAGCATTGTATCGGAATGTGCATGAGTCTACCTGTTGGAAACAGTTTTGGATTTTTCTTGGAACAAAGTTAATACCAGTAGCAAAACATTCATAATATATTAATCTTTTAAGCCTTCATCTAGTTCATTTAACAACTAAGATACCGCTGTTGATGTATTGGCTATGGGACAAAAGTATTTACCATTATTTTTTAGTTTTGTCTGAAATTACAATAACATTCTATAATAGTATATCCAATAATAAATTAACATTTGTGAGAAATATCTAGTTTTATGCAACCAGTATTACTCTTCAACATTACAGCTGTTCCCTATTATACATATTTAAATAATACCCACGCGTTTACTATTATTACAGTTGTTCCCTTCGCAAATATAATTTTTCTACAATTTGATAAAAGTAAATATGATTTTTAACACAGGACTCTATCCCTCTAGCACTGTTAAATATTCCTGTTGCAGCATCTATTAAACAGTTATTGCGTTACTTACAGATTATTGAAGCAGACAATTTGCAGGTAATTAAGAAAAATATTTGTTTTGGCAATTTTTTAATATTCGTAATAGTCCGGATAAGTTTTTTTTTAGGGAAAGTAAAATTGGAAAAGTTGCCCGGAAAATTGGAAAAACTGAAAAAGCTTATCATAAACAAATTTATTAAAATTTGGACAGGATAACGTCTGTTGGGTCAGCTAGTAAGCAACAAATATAAAGTCATATAGACTTTCTGGAATTTTACTCTTCATTGAACGTTAGTCTGGCTGTTAAATTTTTTGTCAGCCACGAACCAAACCATTTTAGTCTGGATGAAAATTATCTTGGGCATACAATCAAAGAAAATGCTTATCATTTATTTTAGATTCAGATATGTTCCTATATTTTTCACGAAATACAAATTTTCAGTTGAAATAAAAAAACATATTTCTACTGAGGCAATATAATAACTTAATTTTACAAAATTGTACCTACAGATGTTATCTACCATATCATGAGTCACAATTTTTAATTAATACTTTAATTCTACATAGAAAATATAAATTAATATTGTTTAAACTCTCATTCTAATTAATATTAACTTAGGAATATACACAAAAATAATGCAATATTTTCAAGATAATTTCAGATATACGATTCAGAATACAATCTATATAACAAACACAACTGTTCCGATTGCGATATTTCATGGGAACCCTGATACTACTACTACAAAGGACGCAATACAATTTAAGACTTAAAAAAAAAATTAAACATGAAGCTCATTACCAATTTTTTTTGTTCTTGCGTTTATACAGAGATTTCAGTTTTTGGGGATTATTCAGATAACCCAGAATGTCATTATTAAGCATACTTCTCAATTTTTGGAAATTCAAATAAACCAATTTTAAAATAGTTGTAATTTATAAATCGTTATAAAGTGCATATATTCAATATTGAACACAACAGGCAAAGTATATTGACTTATAATATAGCTACTCTAACAACTTACGCATTACTAAATAGTTCTTTGTTTTTAACATATGAATTAAAAGTACATTTATTCTCTCAGGGAATAAAAGTGGCTTGAACAGAATCAGAACACAATCTATTGTGTAAAAAAACATACAAATGGTAGCAGACACCAAAACAAATATAAATTATTCATGATTTCACAAATACATATTATTGGACTAATAGTTTATTTGTTTTTCCAACTTTTAAGTGCAAGACAAAATTAGAAAACAGTGGCTGTCATAAAATTACTGGTGATGCAATAGAAGAATTCTAATTCTTTTATTCTGAATAATAAATTTTGAATAAGCAATTTACTTTAAACAGTTAAAATATTGTCATATCCAATGACATTTTCATATTGTTGTGTCATGTGGAAAATACAGTTATGTCGTCCTTGACACCAGTCCACCATGTCTGAGTTACGTTTTTTGCAGTTCTTTGAATTAACGACTATCAAATATATAATGCAGGGAATACTGAAGCGTTAAACGTAAAAAATCAATAAACAATGGATGGGAGCTGAAATTGTGTTAATAGCAGAATATCACCGAGCAAAGCTAATCAGTGGGTTTTCTACAAATCTTCTCTGTACAATGCCACTGTTGTTCTAAAACTACTACTAATACTCTCGAAGGTATTTGCTGCCAATATTATAATAAAAATTATATAAAAATGTATTATTAAAAAGATTAGTGAACATTACATCATTAAAGAAACCACAAGCTAACAGAATATAAAATATACAGAAATTCTATAGTTAGAAGAAAATACGGTAAAAATCCTTGTATGAAGTTACTCTTCGTGCTCAATTCCACTGGTATAACTTTTTTGTATGACTCTACAAAGAAAAGTCTAGAGGATTCATATCCTGTGACCGAGTAAACCACCCAAGTGGTATATTCCTTCTAATCCAACACCTTCAAAATTAAAATGGGTCTATCTCAGAAATAAAAAAAGAAATCTCTGAATAATGTACAGAAGATGTAAAGTTTTCACTGGAATTTCAGCGATCCTGACACATCATTTGAAGGAAAATTACGTGCAGAATTTAAAAATCGAAAAATTTCAAAATAAAAATTAAAAGCGTCTTTACAAAAACTTAAAATGTACACAAGTAGAAAAATAACTATCTTCAGACGGGGCTTTCTCTAACTAACTTAACTACTTTTACGTATTCGGGAAATACGAAAAAAAAAGTATATTAAAATTAATCGAGGACAGGACACGCTATTAAATATGATAACAATAGTCATATAATTGAATTTTATAGTTACTCAATTAAATGGCAATTACATTATTAATGCGAAAATGCTACCGATTCGATGCTCCTCTCTATTCCAAGAACTTATTTGGGAATTCATTCGTTAGTTTTTTTGGAAACAAAACAGTGACTTTGAATCGTTTAGTACTGGATGCAATTAACCTCATTGCGTAACGAAATTTGTGTGAATTACCGAAGTTTATTGAATAGGTGAATGATTGCTGAATAAAAAACATTACATTTCTGCTCTAAACCAGGATATGTCTAACATGCAATGCGATGAAAAATTTTATTTTTATTTTAGAACCCCATTCTTCTACAATTGAGGAGTTTTATTAACGTAAAATATCTACATTTGAAAATGTTACGCTGGATGCATTTTCGTCGTTCCACAGTCTTCATTTTTTACTTCGTTTACAAAGTTTAAAGAATCATTCATTATATGAACTTTTCGTATGAATTCACATCCAATACCTATAATCGCTTCCTAATGAGGAGTAAAACATATTGTTGTAGTATAATTAGAAATGCGATTCGCTATTATTCTTTTAATTTGTTGTTTTCTTTTTTTTCTTTTTGAAAAGTTGAGTCTTCTGACAAGTACTATTCAAGTAAATATGCCCATTTTATGGGGTTATGTACATGTCCAAAATGAAATTGGCAATTAATTCCCGAGCCATATAACTTGCAGGACCAGATAACTTTTACCCAGTAATGGGACCTAATCTTAGTTCCCAGGAGAAATTTAACACTGGGATTTGTACCCAAAGTCTGGAGACTAATTAGAATTTCATTCATTCCCAAACTCAACAGAATCGGTGAAGATGGAGCAAAGAACTCTGAAAATTGCTAGACAGACTTGTTGTTGCTGGGTTAGTGTATTAATAAACCAACCTCTACACCAAAGACAGTTTGTCTTTAGAAAAATGTGGATAAAACTGCCCTTTGTCGGTAAATAGAAAAGGCAGGGTATGTTCTGGAAAACAAAGACTGCTGTTTGGACATGTACTAGAATACAAATAGGAACTATGCCTTTTTGGACATAAAAGGATCTTTTGATATATCTCCCTTATGTCAACCATGAGGTTTATTGCAGGTGTATGCTCGCAGAATTGAATCGGAAGAGGACTATTTTGAATAAAATAAATCGGTTTTACCTAAAATACTTTTTGTTGTTCTTATTTTTAAAAAGTCCTGCTTACTTTGGAACCCACCTTGTATAATTACTTTTGATTTAATAAAGTAATTATGACTAAACATGAAAAATATTATTATAAAAAAGAAAGTCAATTTCGGTAAGAAATAAGAGATATGAGATCCTCTGAGAGAGAAGAGTACTAAAACTGATATCTACAAAAATGTTCTACATAATTGTAACATTGTTTTAAAGACAATGAAAAGCTGTTTACATTGACACTCTGTAGAGTAGATTACATATTCGAACATCCAAAAGCTTATTCGAACGAATGTCAGATTAAAACGGATTATTTACATTCCTGAGAATTTTTGTTTTCGTACAAAAAGCATAGCATTTGCGACAAACAGATGCCGAAAAACTGTACTGAATTTATTAGACATGACGGATGTTCGTTTTTACATACGAATTGGCCTCCAGTGTAACAGGTGTTTTATTCAGGTATACGAATGTTAGTAATAGTGTCAAATCAACTGAAACCTTCCCAATCCATTACGTTAATGTTATTATCAGTAGAAATAATACTTATTTTATATACAATGATTTAAAACCACACTATACAATGATATAAAGCTATCCTAATATCTTTTCATAACATTTATTGTTTGCGTTACTTATTAGGTAATGTAATGAAATCATTAAACACTTATTTTTGTCTACGATTTACGGTAGACTTTAGACTTTAAAGTTGACTTTAAAATTACCAGTTTCATATTGTCTATTTTTAATCTGGAATGGAACATTTTTAAATATGTTATTGGTTAAATTAAAGATTACGTTCTAATATTTATTAACTAACTACTGAAAACAAAATATTTCTATTGAATAAGAAATAAAATAACAAAAAATGTAAAATAAGCAAAATTGAAAAAAAATAATTAGTATGTGTACCTCTTAGTAAAAGCACATTTTCGGACCCAATGTTTTGTCGTCCGGGAATATATTGCTTTTACTAATACGTATTAGGAAATAATAAACTTCTTTTTTGGGAGCGCCATGAACTTTCTTTGTCCTGAACAATTTTGCCGGATGAATAAAATTGTTTCGAGCAAAAATGGGGTATATAGGTGAAAAACCACGTATTTGCCTGTCGGTTTTCTCCCATACAAGGCAGTTTTACAATAATTTCGTCCCACTTCAACTGTGCAACTTGTAAGTTCTTATCGTCAATGTTCTTACTTAATGACAGTGTGAAGATTGCAATATCGTGTAACTCTAGTTGTTTTTTACCTGACCTTATGGAATTAGGTACAGCTGTTAATGTGTTATACAAACATTACTCAATTCGATATTCATATTTTACCTGGTAAGTAAAAAGGACAATTTTATAAAACTAACAACTGTCTACCTATGAACATGTACCATAAGTTGATATTTTTAATGATACTGCAACTGTTAGTGAATTTATCTGCGACATTACATTTTGTTGTACACCCAGACCGAGATCTCTCAGCGGTACGAAAAAAGAAGTAGTGGATTCTCATCTACTAATTATATTCTTATGTTACAGACAGCAATTATTACTAAACACGGATATCCACTAGAATTGCACGAATTGGTGACAGACGATGGGTACATTCTCGCAATGCATCGAATTCCAAGAGGTAGGAATAATACGTCCAACGGGTCGAATAATAAATATCCTGTTTTGTTGGTTCATGGAACGTGTGGATGTATCGAAAATTTCATTGTACTCGGTCCAGAAAAATCTATTGGGTTCTATTTGGCTGATAGAGGATTCGACATCTGGTTGCTGAGTACGAGAGGAAGTAGATATTCTAGGAAGCACAGAACGTTAAACCCTGACACCGACAAGAGGTTTTGGAATTTTGGGTAAATATTAGCTGAATTTTATTTAATTTAATTACTAAAGTAGCTATTTCAGTGAGTGTTCTATTATTATTATCTTTTCCGAAATTATATCGTCAAAAAGGATAAACTATTTATTTACTTTATTCCTTACTTCTTTTTATTAAATTATCAAAAACAATAGATTTGTTAACGATTGATTTATGCAAATATTTTTTTCATCAACTAAATGTAAATATGCAGGGTGTTTTCAAAAGAAGTAGCACAACTGGTACCGCTGAATCAGCACAGTTAAAATTAACAGTCACACTTTTTACCTTTTTACCTGTAGATTCAACGGTACCATGCATTCTAGTTTTTTTGAAAACCCCTGTATATCAATTTGTTTCCTATATCTTATTTTTCATCCGTTTTTCTCAAAGATATTTTTTATTAAGCAAAAATATCTGATTGGTTTCCGTGATTCAAGAAGTTCCTTTGGTGATAAATATTTTTTATAGATACAAAATAGTCGGGATGCACCAAAAATATAAAACTACCTTTATTTACCTTGGATAGTTATGTGCAGAACATTGAAAACTGTAACCATTATACATATATTTTTTATTTAACTTTAGAAATTAGATTATCCAAATTTTCTGCTATTTTTAAATAGGTACTTACAAAATTATGAAATCAATATTATTTCTAAATGCCTACATACAAACAATGAATCTTTTCTTTATAAAGAAATATAGAATTTTATCTTCATTTTCAAAATAACCAGTTAGATGTCCTTTAAAACTGGTTATCTGTACAGTATGTTTAAAAGTATGTAATTTGTGAGCTACCTACTTAAAGTTTTATAAAATTTATTTTTTTTATTCGAAATTCTTCGTTTATTTGTCCAATTCAAATAATAACAGTGGCTATTCTATTTTTAAATATATTAAATAAAATTTTCTGCAATTATTTATTAGAAGCATTTTTAGTTACTGTTTGAGATTTAATTGGGTATTTTTTTTCGAAGAAATTTTTTTTTATAATTAGTTTAAAAGTCAATACTTTAGTATATTGTGTCACAAGGGCAGAAAATATGCATTAGTAGCCCGCGTATATTAAGTGAGAGCTAAGGGCTACTAATGCGTTTTCTGCATGTGTGACACACAACTGTTTTTCGTCTAGCATTAACCAAAACCAAAAAAAGAATGATTTAAATTGACATTTACTGAAAAATTATATACCTAAAACGTCAAAGTACGCAAATGACAAGCAAAGGTGTCCAGATTGTGAAAAACTACAAAATCGTGTTGTTTCTTCGCTCTACGTTCTCAGTAGACTTCAGTTCTTAAGTCAATTGAACTTTAACGCAAGAAGATGCAAATCTCTCATGGGAATACGCTGTAGAAAACTTCTCGAAATGTTCAATCCTTGACCACCGTGCCGAATTGATATTCCTAGACTGTCAGCAACACTCCCACGAACTGCTTCAATGTTTTGTGTTGAACGACTTGTTGAAGGACGGTCAGAGCGTTTAAGATCACTAATTGATCCAGTCTCACTTAAATTTTTAATTAACCTCTTCACTTTTGAACGAAATTGCGAACTGAAACTGTCAAGAGTGTCAAGCCTTCATTGTTTTTAATAACCCTGAACCGTCAGCTGTTACACTGTCTTTTTTTTTCATTGGCGCACAAATGGCGCGAAATTCAAATCTTATGTGTAATTTGGGGCACAATTTTCGGAGTCTTGTAAAACAAAAGCTTCTGATGGTAGTATCTGTTTTATTCATTCAACTTGCTGAGGCAAAGCATCATTTGTAGTTGACACGCTGTATGTTATAATAACATCAGATTTATTTTCAATGTTTTTGGAATTATAGAAATGTTGGGTCTTAATATTTACCAAGTTATTATAATATTTTCTTCATTTTTTCAGGTGGCACGAAGTTGCAGTTTCAGATACTCCCACAGCTGTAGACTACATTTTGAAAACGACTAATACCAATAAATTATTCTATATAGGGCATTCTCAGGGCTCAACATCCTATTTTGCGTTTGCATCTGAGCGACCAGAGTACAATAGTAAAATTTATGTTGCTGTTACCATGGCGCCCTCTTGTCTTTTGGGCGATGTCCGAAACGTTGCTAAGATATTGGGTAAACACACTTCTCTAATACAGGTTACACTATTATTACGTTATTATTTTCCTCTTATTAATTTGAGCTTGAGTTTTACCAATTTGGGATATGAAATCGTCCCCGAATGCCTATACAGGGTGATTCACAACTTATCCAAAAAAAATTGGGAATAGATGCGGCATGAGAAACGGAGCCTATATCGTAAAAAAGATTTTTGTAAAATCCTTAGTTTCCGGAAAAAAAAATATTGAAGTTGTAGTACTTTCAACTGTTACATAGCTGGACAAATGTAGTCTCTAGCGTCACCGGCAATACGCGTGGAGAGCCATGTGGCCTCAGCGACTCCGAATACTGAAATCCGATTTTACAATCGTCGTTGCGATAGTGTTTACAATAGTTTTTTTAGTAGTTAGTGCCAAAAATGGCTTGCGTGTATAGCAACTCGGAGTTGATGGATGTCGTTTTAATTTATGATTTGTGTTATGGTGAAGCAAGACAAGGTGTTAGTTCTCAAAAACTGCGTAAGACGGATCCAAATGTGTTTACACGTCGGTGGAGAAAATTTTGAACAGATGTAACATCAGGTATGTCCTTGCGAAGTTTTTGTTCGTTTTTATCACACTGCCGCCATGTTGGTCATATTGTGCTAGATCAGGTTTTACAGTGGACCAGTTTCCAGTGCTGTACAGAAGTGTATNTGGACCCCTGTACATTCAAATTTTTTTTTGAGTAAGTTCTGAATCACCCTGTATAAATTTTGTAAATATTCCTTATTTAAAAAATACACAGAAATAAACTTCCCCAAAAAGAACACAAAAATAATCTATTTTGATGTCTGAACAGCCACAAGGGACACCTCAGTGAGCCAGAAATGAAGAATATTTAAAATAAGTATTTTAAAAGATATACGGGGCATTCCATTTCAAGTGGCCTGGCCATCTGGAAGAAAGTTCTGTAAAGGTTTAGCTCCAGATATCAAATATTTGAGGCACCAAATCCTTTTGACTGGAGTTTCTACTAATTTCGCTACGACAATTCTGAAACATGCCCACATAGTAGATCAACTTTTTCAGATATCCAAACAACATATGATTCATAATTTATTCTAAGACTTCAAAAATAGTTTTTATTTGGCTTTTTGACATTTTCAACAACTTTGTAGTCAAATATTTTTTCAAAGATAGTAGCCATTACTGTCATATTACTGGAGTGTCGTGTTGTTAATTAGTCTACTGCTTAAATAGATTGTTACCAATGGATGTTGTTCTATAGTTACGTGTTACCAAAATATAGCACAAACGAGCGGCGTGATTTTGGAACCACCTTGAGATTAGATTGTGAATTAGAAATTGTTCTTTGAACATTCATACTAATTTTTTCTTGATCATTTGAAAAAGTTGATCTAATATGTCGAATTTCAGTACTTTAGCTAATCTGAACGCTCATCAGTAGGACCTCCAATGAAAATGACATACTGCCCCAAAAAATATTGATTATCTAGAGCTAAAACTTTACAGAATTTTCTTCCAGATACAGATACTTATCCACGACGATTTTATAAATTAGGCCACTTGGCCCATACGCATGATAATAGACAACCTTATCTTAATTACAAGGATACGCAAAAGAATTAATCAGTTCTTTTGATGAGACTCTGTTATTATTATGTGAACAAGAATGTGAAGTCAATTTGGCCACAGCATCCATCAGTTTAGAGGAAATGCTCCAAAAATCCTCAAAAATGGGTTATTCGCGAATATGCGTATGGACTATATGACTATAATGTCATGGAAGAAGTTGAGTTCCATAACCCTACACTCATGTTGTAGGATTCGAATATGAATATTAAGTTAATTTGGCACCAGGACCCCCATTTTCGAGAAAATTTCCACCCAATTAATAAAAAAATGGTGTTTTGCGATTGTACCAGAGAGGTTTGCGTTTTAGGGTAAAAGTGGACAATTTTTCCGTTCCACTTTTCTCGCTATAGTCACCTAAGTTACCCACGTGTAGTCCATAAAGTTCAGTTTCACGTTCATTCAAAGTTTTTTAATAGTAACTTTTGTGATTACCCAAAAGGTAGAACCTGAAGAAATATGTCCCCTAAAACTGGTTTGATGTTATCTTCACACAGAAGATTTGGTGCCTTCAGACAGGAGATTTTTCTTTTACAGTTACCTAGCCTCCAACTCCAATCAACTTCATATTTCGGTAGACTTGCTAAGATCATTTAACTCTGATTAACACTGATTATACTTTCCGGACGTTTCTTTCTATCCCCATGTATTCACTACCCATTTCATTGCCACCATCTCAATCTTCATATTCCTTCTCGTCTTCCTCTTCATCTTCCTATCGAAAGATTTCTTCATTTTCAGTAGTTTCAATTTAGTTCTACAAAATCTTATGTGGATTCGATTGTGAACTGCATTCTGAAACACTTGCTGCTTTTGTGACTGACGAAACATCCACATATTTTGTGTCTGATTTGACGTATCTTAACCTTCTAGATTTGTCATATAATACCAACCAAACTATTCACGAATAACTCGTTTTTGAGGATTTGGAGAACATTTAACACCAAAATTACTTAACATTCATTCAGTGGATCCGAAAACAACAATAACAGGTTCTCTCAAAAGAACAGGCGACTTTTTGCGCGCCTGATTTATTGTTCCATAATTTACAGCATTCTAACTATAACATTGAGTGGTTCATTCATAATTGGTGATAATAAGATATCATTATCTCCTGTAAGCTGTTTGTATACAGATTATCCCACTCAAGGCGGACGAACAAATTAACACTTTCAAATAAACATCTCATAAAATCAATTAATACTGTTTAGTTTCAAAAATATTTCATATCAAGGCGCACCTTGATGTAAGTTTTATTGTTAGTGACAGCAACCTTAAATTTTTCTAGTAACACATCATTTGATGTTACATATACATAACCATAGATCTCTAAATCAGAGCTCACCGTGTTCAATTTCTTTTGCTATGTCATTACTGCTAATTGAACTTTCTTTTTTAAGTGTCATGCTCAAAGGGTTTTATGAATATCCTGTTTCTAATTATTCTCCTTATTTCCCTACCTATTCCATTTTAACTTACAACTTAGTTACAAACTGAAGATTATTCTATTTTTTAGGAATTGACAAATTTTTTTAATATATATGAACTTTTCCCAAATGGATATACTGAGTGGATTAATGATGTTGCTAAAACATTATGTTCCGAAATGACGTTCTTTATAGATATTTGTTATGCTGTACTATACTTTGGACTAATCGAAGGAGATATGGCGCAGGTAATATTTACAACGTCCAGAAAATGACGGGCAATCTATGAAATTTAGGTATATCTTGCGGAAATAACGTCGAAGTTTAATTAATGTTTTTATTTGGGCTTAAATTTTAGAGTTATTAACACATAGTTTTTTTATTTCTCATCAAATTTGATGGCAAGACTATTTAGTAACGTTGGCAAACTGTACACATTTGTAGAAATAGCACAGCTTTTACACATAAAAGTGTCAAAATTTAAGAAGTAAGAAAAAGTAGGTATTCAACTGTAAATATCAGTAGCTAATAACTCTTCAGGATGAATCTGGATAAAAAAGTTTATATAAACTTGTGACGTTATTTTTTCTAGACATAACCAATTCCGATAGATTTCGCAATATATTCTGGACCCCTTCCATATTTATTTATCTACCATATATATGTATGAATTATTCAAGTATACAGGGTTCTTCACGGTAAGTGGCCTATTAGACATTCCAGAGGAACCAAAGACAATATGACTCTGAAATTTTGTACCATCAACGTAGCACTTCCAGTTATACCGGAAGTAGCTCTCAACTTTGTTATTTTAAATGGAACACCCTATATATTATTGCCAAATTTGCATTGTCAAGATAAATAAAAAATAAGTCAAAAATGTTAAAACTTCCCTGTACCTAAACCTAACCGTTTTCGAGATAATCGTCATTTTACAAAAAATTTGACAGATGCAAGCGTTTCGAAAATTCCTTATATCTTTCTTCGTTCTGGGAGCTTTCACTTGCTTTTCGGAATGCACAAAGAACATAAGTTGCACTACCTTCCGCTATCAAAATTACCTGCAGAAGATTATACTAAGTGTCTCCTTTTTCAAGTTATATTTTGAAAATTTAAAACCGACAAAACTTTTTAAATTCAAATGGACTAAAATATCTTAGCAATGCCCCTCACTTGGTGGATTTCTTTCAGTGTAACCCCTACAATGCCTATAGCGGTGAAAAGAGAATTTGATTTTCTATAATATGATGCAGAAAAATACAGGATGTTCCATTTGACTTTAAAAAGTTTTGTCGGTTTTAAGTTTTCAAAATGTAACATGAAAAATGAGACACTTAGTACAATTTTCTTCAGGTAATTTTGATAGTGGATGGTAGTACATCTTATGGTATTTGTATATTCCGAAAAGCAAGTGAAAGCTCCTAGAATGAAGAAAGATATAAGGAATTTTCGAAACGCTTGCATCTGTCAAATTTTTTGTAAAATGACGATTATCTCGAAAACAGTTAGATTTAAGTACAGGGAAGCTTTAACATTTTTGACTTATTTTTTATTTATCTTGTCGATAATGCAATAATATATAGGGCGTTCCATTTAAAATAACAAAGTTGAGAGCTACTTCCGGTATAACCGGAAGTGCTACGTTGATGGTATCATTTTCATTGAAGAGAACATATTTGGTAACCTCTGTAAACAAATTTTCAGAGTCATATTGTCTTTGGTTCCTCTGAAACGTCTAATAGGCCACTTACCGTGAAGAACCCTGTATAAGATAATTTTTAGAAGCAATTTTATTGTTAACAGTTGAAAACAATGTTGTAACACAAAAATATGGAACGTAACAAAATCCCCGCGGAACAGACCATATCAGTATTGAAATGAGAAAATTTCACCATTGTATTTTAATCCCAATACCTAAAATCAAATAAAGGCTGTTATTTATTTTTTTTAACTATCCAATACATTTTTTATTTCAGACATCACCTCAGCTTCTCTTCAACACCTCACCTGCACACTGTTCAATAAAACAGCTTCTACATTACTTCCAATTAATATATACAGGTAAGGATAGGTGTAATTTTTACGAATCGAATAAATCAGTCGATCAATCGTCGAATCTCTGACAACTTGAAGAATGTGAATCTAGACCCATCCCCAGCTTTGAACTTTTAATTCTTATTGAAATGTGGGACCAAAGAGATGGTCAATAAACCGTCAACTTTTACTGACCAACAAAAGCCGAAGAGCAAATGTTTCTGTGCAAATGTAGATGAAATTAATATGTACATTTGAATATGTATTGAATACTCCCAAAAGATAACAATATTTAGTCTTTCTTTTGCAAAAACCTAAATGTTTTAAGTAACTATTGATTTTCTAGAAAATTATGTACGTATATTATTTGAATGTCATTTTCAGGATTATTCAGGAAATATGATTATGGCGCTCAAGGAAACTTACAAATGTATGGAACAGAATTTCCTCCTCTATACAGTTTTTCAAACATGACAGCCCCTATAGCTCTCTTTTATGCTCTGGCAGATAACATTTGTCCAAAAGAGGTACACTATGACACTAGACTTACATACACGATATAAGTGATTCAAATTTTAATTTCAGGGAGTACGACAATTGGCCAAGTCATTGCCTAACGCGGTGTTGTATCCGGTAACATCTGGGAAATTTGGACACATAGATTTCATCCTCGGAAAAAGGGCTCCAAGACTTGTATACGAACGTGTATATCAATTATTTATGAGATATTTGTAAGAACAAATTTTTAAAAACACAAATAAAGTATCTTTCTCTGTTGGTTCGGATGTTATCCTACGTGCAAGAAAACATTAATTAAACAAACACTTACACTAAAGAAACTGTTTACATAAATTTGAAAATAGAAATCAGTGAAGTTATTCTTGTATACATATACTATAATAAAAGACAAAAAGTTACTTGAGTTTCCGACGTTTTAAAGGTTAGGAATGATACTACATATTTACTTAAACTTAATTTTTTTTATATTTAAGTATTTGTTTATACTTTTTCAAAATATTTTTAAACTACACCCCCTCCTAGCATTTAATTATACCTGGAAATCCTAGGTTTTCAGAATGTTTTGATAGTAATTTTATTAACATTTAATTGTTAGAGAACTGTATTTTCGTAACAAGTTTAAGTAATATTATATGTTTTCCAGATTTATTTCTTATATGTTCCCATTAAAATATAAGTATTTTAAATGTTATATAATCTGGTATTCCTTCTTTTAAGTTGTTTATTTTATTCAGTTGGTGTATATAAGCACTGTTATATTAGCATAAAATTAAATAAAAATAAGAAAAAATTGATGTATATTTGTATAATCCCTAAAGCATAATATTTCAGTATAAAGGACACAATTTGCAAATGATAATAATATAATAAAAAATTGATTTAAAAAACCTCACATTAAAATCAAATAAATGATATTGGAACATTAAGATTTTACAGCCTACATGTTAATCTTTAGATTAACAAGTAATTAGTAATTAAAGAGGACATTTGAAATAATAAATTTAAAGTAAAATTTGGATACGTATACTTTTTATTTATATTATACAACTACTGGTTTGAAATTCACTGACGTAATTGTGAGGACAATTTGAACTATAATTTTAAAATGGATTTGCTATAAAACTGAAAATATTTCAAAGTATTATAAACAATTCTAGATAAAACTGTTTTTATTTGAATAATTTCGAGCTGTTTGCAATGTTATACATCGATGGCTTCTTTGATGCGGCGTAGACCATAGTAATATTGTATTTTCTTACATAACAGCCTCCTGTGTCTGTTTACATCATTGTATATACAGATAGTTGATGCCACAGATTCCTCCTTTTCTTTATTCATAGATATCCTGATGGCTGACTTTATATAAGTTCCTCGCTTAAATGTTTTGAATGTTAATGATGCGTTATTTCTGGGCTAGATAGAGGTAAAATCAGGTACTTATCCCTGTAGTCTGGCTTTCTTTCTGCAAACACTGTGCCCTGTGCACTGGGAATATCTGGTCTCCTCTTATTTATATGAACGATAGCGTACTGTTTTGATTCAACTCCATGGTAACTCCTCGTTAATGTTGTCCAGAAATCGTTCTATTGTTTTATCCACGGACCAGATGACAAATATATAATCAACATATCGAAACCAACATTTTGTTGTAAGGGTTGATATCTCCAGACCCTTTGTCTTGAAGGGTTAATATTTCAAGGCTCTTTAAAGGGGAATAATGTGAATCTAGTACACATTTTTGACAGTTCCATTAAATTTTCATCCTTATCTTCCCCGATAAGCTTTCGACGAAGTTATTCCAAAGTTGAACTTTAAAGTAGAAGAAGGTCCATCTATTACACTTTTGTGGCAGGTTTGGTAAATTTGTATCCTTATCTTCTGCCAGGAGTTTCCAATGAACTTCTCCCAAAGCTTAACAGTTTTCGTAGTTTTCAGTAAACATCCAATTTTGCAAAAGTACCAATTAAAGGAGTCTTGATACCACTTTGGTGTCTTATCGTACAAGAAAACGATGAGAATTTACTAGACTTGACAAAAATTTCCACAACATAGATTTTCTTCTTCAGTTTATGAACAAACTGAAGAAGCAACTGACAAATATCAACATGGAATCTTCCGAGAAGAATGTCCTGGTGTCAGCAAATCAGCAATCGTTATGCTAAGGTTCAGGTATGTTGATGCTACATTGATCATCTATTATGATGAACATAACAACACAAGGATTTCTGGATCATGTTAGTGGAGTACATATAAAAAATTTGTGAAATTTGGGATCCTAAAGTGATTTTGGAAATATCTCTTCCAAAAAAATCAAAGTGGCCCTGGATTACTAGATAATCGTAATTCATTAAAATACATTTAGGAAGCTACCATAATTTAGAGAGGTATAACCCCATTAATTTTACAATTGGACGCAACTATGATCATCTACCAAAAAATGGTGCAAAAATTCAAATATACATATCCTATTAGGGATCTTTTTATTAAAACAAATTTCAACGAATTCATACCTAGGGTGACTTGAAACAGTACATTTCAAATCACTGAAAACAGATTCTTATGAATCTAAAGCATATTTTTTGACGAATATTTTTTTATGGATTTGGCATAATTACGGTCTAAAATTCTGGAGTGTGTTAACAAGAATCCGTCGGTTCCTTAAAAAATTATTAATAGTATTTCTCTAATTTTCCATCAATCATCACAAATCGTCACTTTGTTGATGTCGTTTCGATACACTTTTACTTGGTCTATCGAAAAGGAAAAGTTTTTAAAATTGGCCAGTAAAAATGCGATGATAGCTAGTCCTTAAATGCAAGACACTGTATTTCGTCTATAATTATCCTTTATTTGTACATGTTATAAGTAGGTATTAATACTCATGTTTGCAAATTCAGTCAAAAATTTTGTCTGCTATTGCATAAAATAAAGCATGGCCAAATTATTCCAAATTATCTATGATCCCTTGAATACGAATATTTTTCTAATTCAAATATTCAAGGTTTACCCTGTACAAAGTTCCTCACAAGAACGCAAAGTTAACCTTTTGTTGCAGATTTCCCCTGAACAATTTACTGATAGCTGATGAATCATTGAACTAGATAGATGCAATTCTCGTTGAAGATTCCCAGGCGCCAAAGAACATCCAATTTTCCGCAGTTTCAACAATAACATCTGTAACTGGAAGTCACTCGTGAACTGTAACAGGATACCAAGACGGGTGCAAGGTTAATTCAATTTCCACGTAACTAGAGGTAAATTCGAATACCTCATCATTTAAATCAAACCATTATTAATAACGATTGTTTTGTCACTTGCACGGAACAATAATCGGATACCGATTGATTGACCAGTGACATTGAACGCCAGCCGTTAATGTGATATGAAATGGTTCATTATTTCTGGATAGTGTTTTAATTGATGGGTACATAAAACCAGATCATCTGAATAATACATCAGTTTCTCTCAGGACAGACCACAAGCGAAACCATGGCTTCACCAGTTGATTTTCTAGTATACATCGCACTTGTATTGGTTTTGAATTTTGGACTTATTAGTGGAATACAAGTGGTGCAAACGACGACTACCATATCTACATTTTCGATTGTAAGTACTCATTTTTTTCAAATATCTTATTTATCCTTTCTTATTATTCAATTAAAATTTAATATTTTTATATTGTCTGTAAGTGTATACTTATAAAAAAACAAAGTTTTTCGTGCTCTAAACTGTGAAACGTGTCGTGAAGAATTATCTGCTTTCTCAATGTAATATATTTCCGGTTAAGCAAAATTAAATTTAAGCAAAGGGTTATTTATTAAAAATATTTCTTTTCAGTGTGGTAGAAATATCCAAATAAAAAAGAACATTTTCTATATTATATAGGTTCTGATTTTAAAAAAAGAATGTTTTTGATACAGCTAATGTAATTTTAAATTGAATTAATATGAGTATTTCAGTCTGGGATTATGACTTGGCATAATTTCCAAATACCAAAGGGTAAAGTTTTGCTAAGCAGAATAAATGTAAAAATCCGTGTAAATAAAAAAATAAACATTAAAAAAAAGGTTTAAAAAGAGATATTTCAAGAAGAACACCATTATGCATCAATGCAATATTAAATCTCTATCAAAAAAGTAGTAACTTACGTCAACATTATCTGTTGCCATTATACCAATAATTACATGTACTTTAATAATTAATTAAAGAAAACCATTGGTCCCTAGGAAATTAAATTTTTGCGAAGCCTTTGGAGCATTGTCTTCATGTTGAAATTTACTTATAGTCCAGGCGAGAGCAGTAAAAGTAGGCTTTGGCGTTTGTGTTTAAAGTCATCTATTTTGTTGTATAGAGAAATCCCAAATATTATGTAGAATAAGAATTCGAGTTTGCCCATTCCAAAAAAAAACCATTGCTAAATTCCGGGGAACAACAAACATATAAGTAGAACGAAAACTGACCCGTTTTTCGACATATATCTCAGAAAATTCCCTAGGCAATAAGTAATTGTTTATAGAGTAAAATGTTGAAAAATAAAAAAAAATTCTAAATGGTTATAAAAGTGAAAAAATAGGTACTTTTAGTATTGATCATTGTTTATTATGACAACAAGTATCTCTAAAAAAGTGTGTGCCCTTTCTAAACCTTAATTTAAACCCACAGTACCCGATAAACTTTATGAAATTTTCATAATAATAATTAACATCGAAAACCGCGCTATCGATCGCTGCAAAATTTTTAGGGTAGAATTGTCATATGTTTTACTATTTGTTCACAAAGTTTCAACAATAGTTATAAATATTTACTTAAATATACGTAATATACATATGATTTTCTACTATTTTTCGCCCATTGTTAATGCAAAATTCAACTTTTTTGATTGGCAGTTATTATACCTTTATAGAAAATCGTCAAATAAACAAAAAATAAAGAATGACTTTTTTTATTTAGGGTTTACTTTCAATGTTACAAGGAAAAATATGTCGAAAAACGGGTTAATTTTTCGTTCTTTTTGTATGTTTGTTGTTCCCCTAAATTTTTTGGCATATTCAAACTCGGATTCTTATTCTACATAATATTTGGGATTTTTCTGTACAACAAAATAGATAACTTAATAGATCTATAAAAAATGTAGGAATTTTTTAAAAGCTACATATATTAATATGTAATAATAATCACCAAGATTTTAATTTTGTACTGCATCCGAATAAATTTTCTGTAATTTTCAAGAATGAAAAACATGTCGATGTAGTTTTTGTGGGTTAGATTTTGTGTCAGTACATGAACCAACTATGTTTTTCAAATAACTAAAAGTTTTGAGAACGAAAATTTTACTTATGTCTCATAGTGTAAAACATTCAAAAATTTTCTACTGTCTCAGGATGAGATATTTTTTTCTGTTCACCCAAGACTAGCTCTTGGCGCAAAGGTTCATTTACACAAATTTAATTTTCTCTTCAGCTTCTATTGAACAAAAAATAAATAATTAGTATTATTATAAGAACAATACCATTATTATCGACTGTGATAATTAATAATAATTGAAAGATCACCATAATGCCTACAACTATTATACTGATATTATTGTGGCAATGTAAAATTATGGTTGCATTTACTTTTATCCTGAAACTCTTGCAAAGATAAATTATATTATATTGATTTAAACATTTTTCAGACACAACACGTGACAAGCTTCGGATACCGTATCGAAAGATATGAAAACATACGAACTGAAGACGGTTACTTATTGGAAATGTTCAGAATTCCATACGGAAGAAGGGACATAGAACCCTTAACTCCAAGACCGGCTGTATTCTTGATGCACGGCCTACTAACTTCTGCAGAAAGTTGGGTATTAACTGGACCTGAAAGAGGATTAGCCTTTTTACTGGCAGATAGAGGTTACGACGTCTGGTTGGGCAACGCGAGAGGATCCGTGCACTGCAGAAAACATATTTCACTCAACGTTAAGCAACAGGAATTTTGGCAGTTTAGGTATATTTTGGCATTTTTCAATTAGTAGTGGGGTATTTGGGGTTCTTCTAACTACCTTCTTTTCGTAGATGTTTGTTCATTGATTCCAACATTTACCTTATGTCCTATTTAGGTTCTAAGGAAAATCCCTTAAGATTAGGTCCAATAATGGAAGCATCAAGTACATTGGAATGAAATGCAAGAGAATATCTTAGCTATTAACGAGAAGAATACAAAATATATGGTGAAAAATTGTAATGATAAAGATGAGACCATTTAATCATCGACTATGCAGCAATTAGTAAATATACATAGGAAAGGTACAACAAATGAATATCTAAGAGTAACGCTAACACCTAGAGGAATGAAGAAGGAGAAATAGAAATACGATTGTGAAATGAGATTTAAACATTGAATAATAATAAGGTTGTACAAAATAATATTAAGATCCGCTGTTACCTGTTTATGAAACTTGCGTAATTACCAAAAAAGATAATGAATTCTATGAAAACGAAGAATTTTAGGAATAATACATTGAAGAATTTATAAAACAAATAAGGAAATAGAACTATTGTTTAAACATCAGTATAGTATGAAGATATTGGAAATAAAAGGGTGGTTGGGACATATAGAAAAGAAAAGCCATCATTGTAAGGGAAGGGGGAGGAGAAGACGTGGTAGCCCCGGGAAAGATGGTTGAAGGGAATGAAGAAGCATTTGAAGAAATCAGGAACGAACCACTATAATAAAAGATAAAGAAAACTTATAACTAAGGATCACTAGGCCCATAGTGTTTACATGTATGTATATAATATTCGATAAAACTGTTATACTTTCTTCATTATACCCGCCAATATCCAAAGAAACCCCTTGATCAACTAAGTATGGCTATGGATCGGTCCCTAAGCTCGCTATAATTAGAAAGAACGAAATGGGCATGCAAAGGATAAGGTTCAACAGAGCTACAGTCACTTCTTACGTCGAATGAATAATTTTTTTTTGTCAATACTAATTATCTATCAATCAAACATTAATATCCAAAAGACTAGAGCAATTTATTATTTTCTAAACAAATCTTCAGGAGGTTTGAGTATAAATCGTCACCTCAGAATTATACTGTTGTATGTGCACTGAACCTAGTCTTGAGAAAAACGAAAAACAAAATTTTGATTATTACAACTCCGGCAGTGCTAAAGATACATTTTTGATACAATTAAATTAGCTAGATTTTAGTACAAGTTACTAAGAATCATGTACAAAACTTTGGAAAAAAAAGTTTTTTTGCTAAAATTCAGATATTTAAAAAAACATACAACTATGTTATCTCAATAAAAATCTTTATTGTCAAAATAGCCTGTAACATGCAACTTTGCATTTTTATAAACGTAAAAAAAGTAATCCTAACAGATATTTTTCGAAAAAGTTAACACATTATTCATAGAAATACATTTAATATAACAAAATTAAGAGCAGAGGAAAATTAGTTTGGAAATATTGCTGTATAATATGTTCAGGCATCCATTTGAACATACTTTTGAGAGCTTGTATTTTATTTTCGGGAATGGATTCATTAAAAGATAAACGCGATGGGAGTTGCATTTTATTGCTGGTTCTTACAGCATCAGATCTTGTAGGTCGGATATCATGAATACAAACTTTTTTCCAATTTTCTAGTGCATGATTAATTTTATATTCTACTTCAAATTGAGATTGCGTGAATTTTAAGGCAACGACGTGGCTAAAAGGAACGGATTTGTAATTATATAAAGAAGCACATGCTTTATAATCTTTAAAATCATCTTCCTTTAATTGAATAATTTTATACGGTTTTTCACTTTTAATAGAATTCGTAACAGTGATAAGGGTGAATAATACTCCGTTTTATTTAATAGCCTTTCAATACAACTATGTACAGAATCGATTTCTTGGTTACATGAGTGACCAGGAGTATAGAATTTCATGGTTACAGAAGTTATATTTAAAATAACAATGTAGTTGTTGTGACACATACAATTTTGTTACCGAAAGATAATAAAATTCTTGAGGTTAACAGAGTGTAAGTACCACATACCACTATGCAACCGTAAAAACGTTGTATTGGATGCATACAATTTTGTAATTCTGGTTGCCTGCATCAAAACTATTAAGATACAACTTTGTGCCTCCACAGAAAAAAAGTTTAACCGACATACAACTTTGTAGCGCTAATAACTAAAAAATGACAAAAATGCGACATACAACAGTATAACTCTGAGGTGACGAAATGTTAAATAATTTCCAAACTTTTATTATTTTATTTAGAAAGCTATTCTTCCACATACAGTGTATATTATAAAATTGTAGTATTTTTCATAAAAGAATATTTAGATAAACATATAAAGCCTACTTGAATTACACAACCTTCTTAAAAATAACTAACCAAAACACTAAATCTCTTTTGTTTCAGCTGGCACGAAATCGGAATATTTGACTTACCTGCCCAAATAGACTTTATAATGGAGAAAACTACTGTGACTCAAATATCTTACATAGGGCACTCCCAAGGCACCACTGCTTTCTTCGTCATGGCTTCAGAAAGACCTTCCTATAACGCCTACATCAATTTGATGACAGCCATGGCACCTGTGGCTTTCATGTCTCACATTCCCCATACAGCAGTACAGGTTATGTCTGTATTCACACGCGGCATGACTGTAAGTAAAGTTTGATTTACAAGAAGGCATAGCTTATCATTAATCTTATTCTTGACAAGCCGCTGGTATGTTAGATTGAGGGCCCACGGAAAAGCTAATTTGGGATTATACTTCAGTGATCTTATATGAATCAGTTTTTCGACAAAATTCCCAAGCTAAGCTGTATTACAACCAATTCCAAAAGTCATTAGTATGGGCAATACCTACTTAAAAAAAATATTTAAATGAAAATATTTTTTACACAAATATTGCAAAGACGATTTACTTTAACATTATTTGTTTTAATCGTTAAAATCATTTGATCTTTTACAGGTCTCTTCCAATCTGCTTGGAGGTGGCGAATTAATTCCCAACACTCACCTTCTTAATTTGGCTGGGGCTGCTGTATGTAAAGAGCACGTAGTACTTCCAGAAATATGTGCCAATATACTATTTTTGACTACAGGATATGATTCACGACAACTGGACAGGGTAAGACATGCTGTTTATTTTGAAGGTGTTCGAAAATGCGTAGTCGTAGGAAAATTTCAATAAAAATGCAAACATAATCTATTTATAAATCCGCAAAATCTTCAAATCTACGACATACTCATGAAAAATAAAAATAGCGAAATATACAAATATTATAATGTTTAGCTAGTTGCATTAAAAAATTAACCAATTCATTAGATGAATTACTAAAATAATTGTAGAAACAATCACAAAGTACCTAATTGGGTGATTTTTATTTTTTTTTAGTCTCTGATACCTTTAATAGCGCAGACTACCCCAGCTGGAGCATCTACGAAACAACTACTTCATTACTGCCAAGAGATTCGATCAGGTTTGTTGATTTTAATTAAGCCCAGCTCATTATTATATTAATTATAATTAATTTCAGGCCTATTCAGACATTATGATTATGGTGTAATTTATAACTTGGCACTCTATGGATCTCCTGTGCCTCCAATCTATAATTTGTCTAGGATCACAGCTCCAGTAGCCCTATACTATGCCAAAAACGACTGGCTGGTTTCAGTCGAGGTAAGTGGAAATATATTGTAACAGCGAATTGAAATAGTGAACTAAAAGAACTAAACAATAGTCACGCAACATAAAGAAAAGAGGCTACAAAGTAATGCCACTTGCTAAAATAATGCCATTGGAAAGCTGGAGTTCACATAATATTGGCAATTTGTTAAAAATCTAATTTTATTTTATTTTATTTTATTTACTACACTGTTCAACAGGTACTACCCAATTATAGAACAGAACTTTTACAGACAATAATAAAAGAGGTACATTAATTACAAACAGAAAAGGACATAAGTAAAATCTATACACTAAATAATACAAATAAATGAAGATTAAAATTACATACATATTTGAAACTACCCGACATTAAAAATAAAGCATTTTTAAGTCTAAGTATAGAAAATGATAATTTGGTTATAAATTCCTGGTAGTCAGCCAAATTACGTAAAATTTTAAAAAGAAAGAAAGTATTTCCGTCTAGTTTCAAGGCTAATAAAGGAATGTCTACTTAAAAGGTCCTCATGGAGATATCCGATATGAGGATAGTAGCCATCAGATTTAAAATTTAAAAATTTAAAAAATCGACGCTGAATCGATTCCATTTTACTAATGTTCCACTGGCATATTCAATGTTCGATCTAACGTAACTAAAGTAAAGAAGCTTTATGACATCTAAGTTTGAAAAATCACGGCAGTTGCGAACTATAAATCCATATGCTCTATTAGCTTGGGAGACAACAGTATCAATATGATTAATAAATGATAGTTTTTCATCAAATACAATGCCCAGATCTCGAAATGTTTACCATTCACAAAATTACCAAAGCTGTAATTAAACATAATGCGATTGAACTTGGAGAAAGAGATGACATTACATTTTTCCGTATTTAACATTAGCCTGTTATTATTACACCAAGATTTTATATTAAGAAGGTTTCGTTGAAGCTGAATACAGTAATTAAGAAGAAAATTTATATCTAAGTTGTCAAATAAATCGTTAATGAGTATAATGAATAGTAAAGGTCCAAGAATGGAACCTTGAGGACCTCCTGATGTAGCGACATACTCAATCGATGAATACCCATTATAAACTATATACTGTTTTCTGTTGTCTAGGACTTGAAGAAATTCATTAAGGTCCCTGATACGCCAAACATATCAAGCTTCTCAAGTAAAATTGAGTGATCAAGCCTATGAAACCATACTGACAGGGTGTTAGAGATGTTATAATAAATATAGTCATGAAGTAATTTTTCAAAAACTTTACTACAAAAATTACATATAATGGAGATAGGACGAAAATTAGTAATGTTAAATTTATCACTCTGTTTAAAAGTTGAACATACTTTTGAATGCTTCCACACCTCAGGTAACCGACTCTCAGGCATAAGTTGAATATTTTTTTTAAATAACGAGAAAAAAATCTGAGCTAAGTCTCTTATCAGAATTGCAGGAACACCATCCGGACCAGTAGTTATTTTGGGTTTAATCTTTTTAAAGTCGAAAGAATTACGGTTTCACTAAAGTCGCGAATATGTATGATAATATTAATGTTATTGCTGTAATATGAATTATTGCTGTTAGAAGATGACGGTAAATAAGATTTAGAGAAGAAATCTGCAAATGCATCAATAATATCATTTGCATTTTCAATATGACGCCCATTATAATGAATAGACTGGGATATTTTTGTAGAACCCTTTTTATTGTTAATAAACGCCCAAAATTTACTAGTGTTATTCTTAATAGATGCTTAATAGATGGCTCCTAATTAGGGTAGTTACAGGTGGAACTATGGAAATTGCATGTAGCAATTACTGAAATCTATAAATAATATTTTCTTAAATGAATTAAATAACCCATTCACATTAAAGGTGAAGTATAAATGGTTGCATACTTTTTGAGCTTTTCAATTTGAAATATCATCATCAACATGAATAAAAACAATTTATTGAAGTAATAGAATCTTCAGTTCATTAATGTATATACTATGACTGTCTTGTAACAATACTTAAGAGTTATTGACGTTTGATGACATTCTATAACAATTAAGATTGCTAAAAATAGAATACAGGCTGCTACACTGTAAATATTCGTAAATGATACAAAAGTTCATAAATTATAAATAGAGCATTGATTTATGTTGCTGTATATTTAGGAATATATATCAAAATTTAATATATTTATAAAGGAATTATTGGGATTAATGGTAATTTCTAGAACATCATCAAAAACTGATTATAAAACAGGAGCATGTGTACATGTATACACAACAATTATTTTGTGGTTACTATTTGTATGCCCAAAATGTAAAAAAACAGCATTGTTGTCTGTGATACCAGTAGTGCGTTGCACTTTATATCGATAAACATTATCGGAAATGTGCATACCTACATAATATTTGATAAAACAACATAATTATTTGATCGAGGTTGAAATATTTTTCCGCTGACTAACTCCAACATACTGCAAGGTAATTTATTAATGGAATACGAGTGGGCCGCAGAATGTAATGTAATTTATTTTATAACAGTCGTACAAGTCTTGTTATTTATATCATACAAAAAAAATTTAACCAGATGGATTATACAACGTAATTGATTTATGTAGCCGTCAAGGAAACAAATCTAGATCTGTTAACCAAAATGCAATATAGCGGAATCAAAAATCAATTTAGGATTAATACATGTGATAGTTTTGCTACGGTACCTTTTATCATACATAAAAAATACACTATTTTGCCATTATATGCAAAGAATATCAAGTATTTAATAATTACCCGGAATTGTTGATAATAATCATCGTAAATTTTAATCTGATGGATTTCTGAGGTAGATATGACGTCGTCGTTTAGATTTCTTAACGTTTCGAGATCTATCGCTGTCTTTTTTCTTCAGAAAAAGAAACTCTGAGGATTGAAATTAATTATTCTCGATTTATCTTTATCGTGTGTACTGGTCAAATATGAAACACGCAAGTAATATACCAAAATTCTAGTAGAAGTAAAAAGTTTTTGGCCAAGGCTCTACAGAAAAGCAGTAGAAATGCAGATGTGTAGAAATAATTTCAGATCAGAAATTCGCGGAATTTGAAAAGCTGAAACATCACAGACAACTGACTTCAAACCAAATACAGAAACGGTAAGGACCAATATACACAATAGATGAAAATACCGGCCAGAGGGCTTAATCTTCAATTTCAGAATTAGTTCAGAAGACAGCGATATTGTTCAACCATTCACATCTACCACAAGAGCCTGCAAATCAAGATTATCTATCAGTTTCGCATATAAATTCAATCCATCTCATTATTTAACTTTTCGGAACTTAAAGAAATCGATCTATTGGGCAAAATCGACTAACCAAATAAATAATATGGAACAATAAATTAAAATTAATACTCAAAGACATACCATCGAAGGCCAAGAATATTGCCACCTTCTCAGTCTTATTCCAATTATCACAAAATTTAGAGTTTTCAGTTTTTAATATGTTTTTATCAAGTTTAATTATTTTGTTGGACATCTTGACTTTCACATCTTCACTTTCATTTCTTATTAGATGCGAAATGTGATCAATTTCACCCTAAAATAAAATAGCCAAAAAACTATAATAACGATACATATACATAAAAAATCCAATCGATACAGAGTATGTCCTTTTAAAAAAAACTGTTAAATAAAAAAATAAAACCTACGTTATTCATTTGCTTCCCCTTATCAACAAAGATTTCTTGCAATTAATCTAACAGTATTAGAAGATATTCCGACCTATTTTTATAATATATTTTAGCAGGATTAGTATTGTATGTATTGTATTTATTGTACTTACTGGATTGATTTTTATCTATTTGTATATATATTGACTGAAAAATGCAGTCGAAAAGCAAAAAAATAGAGTAACTAATATTTTTTTTTGTTGTTTGTAGGACGTGACGATATTGAAGAAGGAATTACCTAATGTAGCGTCGGACTTTTTAGTTCCATATGAATACTTCAATCATCTAGATTTCCTCTTTGCCAAGAATGTCGTGAGCATGTTGTACGTAAAAGTTTTTGAAGTAATGGAAACAATTATAACGTTTTGATTCGAACCGAAACGAAACCATAGGTTTAAACTTGTGACTGTTCTATCCCACGATGTACTAAAATAAAAATAAATAATTTGGATAGTTTTTATCAATACATCCACATGAGTACCTACCTATAACATAAAAACACAAATTGTACAATTTAATTGCGAATAAGAAAGAAGAAGAATTAGTGCTCTATTTGCTTTAAGTGCGTGTTTGTAATTTCAATACGCAATCTTCGATTAAAAATCGCTAATATGATTTCAAAAATGGGAATATTAAAATGATCGCAGCGTGTGTTGCACTTGCACCCAATCGGCGTCGATATACTTACTCATAAACGCAAATTTTTTTTCATTTTTTTATGTAACAAAATGCCAAAAAATTTCTTACGAAATGCCAAAGATATATTTTTAGACAATATGGAAAATTTTAAATACCTAAAATCCCTTTTTAATTCTGGAATGTAGAGCATGCACGTTTAAACTGGTAAATTGTTCATTATTTGTCCATAAATATACACAGTATGAAATCAACAGCATAAACTACGTAGTTTCAGATAAATCAATCCTTGCAATTTTTTGTAGGCATGATGCATTGGTGTATTTACTTGCCAAATATCAGACGATAAAATATGATAGAGACAGTTGGAAGGCACAAAGTTAAAATGAATTGCTTGGAGATGTTAGTAATTATTGAGCAAGATTTACAAATATTCAGACACGTTCAAAGTACTCAGTTCTCTGAAATGTAAAATATACAAAGCCTTCTAAATGCTTCTACTACTAAAGAATCAAAGAAGCGATTAATAGACCATTCCAAGAAACATATCATAAAACTCTAGACCTTTTAAGATCCTTTTCCAATTTCAGTAGAGTGCAAACAGTCATGGTTCCCTTAGAAGACCATCTTAAAATATTTTAAATGAATTGGAAGATAAATTACCTTATTTTTACTTTAAATTTGAACCATGCAATAAAAAATTTCATATGCATGATGAGAAAATAAAAAAATCTTACTTACAGACATCCATAAAACAATAAGCAAAAATAATTACAACAACTTAGATTATAAAATAATTGTAGATTTCCCTTAATTAAGGAAATTAGTTAAGGAAGCTCAAACATGGTGTTAACTAAAACTGAAATTAATCTGATATCGTTATTATAAGGTATTCTGGTTTGTTAGGAAATTATATTTAAAAATTTTCTGTTGTAACTCACAAACCAATAAACATAGAAACAAAATGAAAACAGCACTCAGATCTGGAACAAATAGAAATTTCACATCTATTCGAATAGAGTAAACAAATAAACCAGTTATTTTTACATGTAAAAAATAACTAGGTTGAAAACATTTCAATATCCACGTAAACTACGTGTAAAATTCATCTACGGGTAAACAAGGACAATTTTGTTGTACCAAAAACGCATTACCCGTCATACGTCCCAGAAATAATCCGAACTTTGATCAAAAACGTGATTCTTTGTAAAAAATTTTTTCGGTCATCTATTACTTACACTTTGCACATATGACGTATGTAACATACATTTTTATTTATAACTACTGGCGTAGGTACCTAGGCGCCTACTTGGCATCCAGTTCAATTTTTTTAGTGACGTTCGATATTGAGTAAACTAATCTATTAATGGGTCATACGAATATAATCAATTGAGTTTATTCCTACATAAACAATATAATTAATAATAAAAGTATTTGTGGATATCCTTTTTGTTATTACGAGGCTTGATCAAAAAGTAACGGGAAGGACTTCCACGTTTGATCAGATCTCATTTTATCTTCGATGTCCTCTTGGCGTTCCTGAAAACATTTCTCGTGGCTGTGACATAGTATCATGTACCCAATGAACATACCTGCAGAGATATTTTTAAACAATACAAAATTTTAACTTTTAAGTTCGTTATTTATATTTGACATGTGTATTTATGTTTTTAAAAATAGGCAAAAATTTTATTTAAGTAGTGACATACATGGTGTAAATACAAGGCATAAAAATAATATTCGGGTACCTTTTTCTAAACTGTCATTTACCAATAAGTCACCAAATTATTTAGGGCCTAAATTTTTTAATAAATTACCTATTGAATTAAGACAAGATAAAGTATCTTTTTATCAATTTAAAGTAAAGTTAAAATTATATTTAGTGACCAAATGTTTTTATTCCTTGGGTGAGTTTTTTTGCTTCCTAGGTTAAGTTTCATTTGTTTTTACTTTAAATATCTGCTATACGCATAACTGACTATTGTTATACAATTTGTAGTTGTCTCAAAACAAAATAAAACATCTAATCTAATCTAATCTAATCATCACCAAAGGCAATCTTTAACATTTTGCATGCTTCGCTGCACTTAATTCCGTTTTTAACACAAAATATCAAACAAACCCTCTGATCCGATATTTCGCCACACAAAAAATCGTCAAAAACACTGGTCTTACTTATTCGCTCACTACACAAACTAAGCTTGGAACCCGCCTAAAAATTGTCACTACGTAACTGACAATGCTACCAAAAAAAAAAAAAATCAACTCGATAGTCAAGATACAACACGCGCAATTTGGAAAGTCCCATTACTTTTTGATCAAACGTCGTATACTTCTAGCGCAATCTGAGCTTCTATTCGTTTACTTCGTATTCTAAAATGATTTTTTTGTAAATAATAAAAACACTGTTATTTCTAAAAAAACAATACAGCACATAAAATGGTAGCAATATAAAGTTAAATTATAAACCCATAGTCATTAAATTAGTACAAAATTTTCTCATTAGGTAAAAGCAATTTTTTTGACACCTGAATTCAGGGGGAGCTACATTTTAAATTCAGACGACGCAAACAGTAACACGAGCTAGCTGAATATAAATTTCCAATTCGTCAGACCTATTGATTGATAATTGCATTATTAATAGAAACACCATTTTCTCACGTAAACCGCAAACAAGCAGATATTATAATACCCATATTGTTTTTCGACCTGGAAAACTGTCACGTCACATGATTCTTGTACAGGGTGTCTCAGAAATAAGTGCCAATGTTTTAACCACGTATTTAATTCTTCAAAAGCAATTATTAAGTGGTACATTTAAGGGATAAAGCCGAAGACCGTATTAAAGAGGGATAATTAATGTCATTAGAAATAAGGCGTCTTCTTTTAGGTAGTTTCCAGATAGTCTGATTCTTTGAATCTTCAAAATGATATTATCGCGTGTATTATTTACTGTATTATCCTGGTATTATTTACTTGTTGCGTTCCTTCTACGTTCTAACATTGTTGTTTGCTTTAACTTTCCTATTGTTATTAAAAAACCTTTTTTAAAAGGTTCTAGTGGTTTGATCTCTAAATTAAATGATCAATGATATTACAGCATCTCAGATTCCAAAGTAGTGTATTATGAAAGTGAGCATTGTTATTGAATACTCTTTTTGAGTGAACTTAAATTAGTTTTGATACTATTGCTACCCCAGCTTACTCACAGGCATGTCACTCTAATCACAGTAGTGCTAGTCACAGTTCCGTCTATAGTTCCGTTTTTTTCTGGGAAGCTCCACCAACACCTCTAGATGGTCAAAGTAACTTTTCCCACAAAGATGCGAACCTTGATTATTTTAAGCAGTTAGTTAATCCACAACAAAAAGCTTATTTGTAAAGAGCACACTCAAGTTTGTGGAGAGATGGACTAGATGTGGTAGAAAGGAAGTCGAAAAATGGAACACAAACAATTTCTGTAAATAATGACGTTGTTATTTCTATTATTTAATTATTTTTCGTGCTCTAATTATGGACTCACGATATGTGAAATTTTATTCAAAAGAACTAGGTAACTTACCTGAGGGAAAATATGTGTATAAGACAAAAGAAACATTTTATTTTTTTTGTAATAAGACCACATTTGAAAGATGGCTGCGTTAAAGGATATAATATCTATAATATCCGAAAAATCAGTTCTAATATATAAATTCTCATGCGTAGTTGTGATTTTTTATACTTTTATACTTACGCTCGACGTAAAGTTACCTACATCGATATACGTATACCTTATACGCATTTGTATCTAATCGAACGCAATACCAATTAAAGTTAAGTCGAAACCTCACGGCAGTTTTGATTTGGCCAATCAATACACAATAGACATTATTTTCTTTGCTTTGTCGTAGCATCTCCAAAACAAAATAAAATTCTTTTTCAAACAATGATGATTTATATAATTCTACAAAAGTTCTAATACTATCACATTAACGTTTAGGATAAAACATAGAACTTGCTGCCTCGATATTGCTTTAAGTGTATACTGTCTAAATCTAAAGTGGAAATTTTCTACACCACTGTCTGCTGTTATAAGGTTACAACATGTTTTTATTTATTCCGACTCAAAATATGTAAATTAATTCCGAAAGAGGCCAAAGGCATACTAGCTACCTATTTACGTATGCATTTATATCGAAATAAAATTTCTTCCGGAAATAAATCTCAAAAGTTTCATTGACAAATAACAACCTTCAGTTCTGTACAGAACTTACCTTGATGAATTTCTCTATGCAGAGTGATAGGTAGACAGTCAATGTGATGATCACCTAGAAACTTGCTAGTAGTTCAAACGAGGTCATTTTAGTAAGTAACTCATTAATATTAATCTGTAAAAGTAACAAGTTATAACCAGAAATTACCTGAGCATAAATGAATTTTTTTAGGTCAAGTAATTAGTTAATGATGGTGAAAAATTAACTCTTATTACGCATTTTTCTTTTAGCTATACGTCACAACAGACATTATTCTATCCAGAAATTAATATAAAGACAATGGTTTTCATATAAAAAATTAAATTTTGAAACCTACATACATATATACATATGTTAATTAGTTGACCTACAAGATGCGTTTCAAGGTAAACAAGATTTTCAAAAATAGATATATCTAGTAAATCCATATATTGGTAATTCATCGGAAAGGTAGATCCTTCACTGATGTACTGTCAAAATTTCATGGCATTTGGACGAATAGAAGCAGAGTTATTGCGTCTGAAGTGACGTTTTGTTTTAAACTTGGTAAAACATTTACGGAAAGGTTTAAATTGATAAACCA